TATGATGATGATGATGATGATGATGATGATGATGATGATCATGTTTAATAATAGTGTAGCTGAATTTACTTTCTTATCCACATTTTTGACGAATTTGCTTTATCGCTTGCTGTTTTTTTTATAATGCATATGCTATATATATGTGTACTTTTTGATGCTTTTATTATTTGATTATCTCTTAGCTATCGTCAGTAGAGTCGAATAACCAGCACTTTTTACTCATCATGCTCTTGTATTTTTTGGAGAAGTGTAATTTTCGATTATATATCCATCTTTCTGCCATGTCTCTATCACCTGCCGTTATAAACCACCTAATTGGGCACGCAACTGCATATCGTATCTTAGTAGCTAAATGTATATCGCGGTGGAGTTTGGAGCGAGTGTTATCGGGTTCGAGTCCTAGAGGGACATCAACTCTGAGATGCAGTTACATACACATGACGAGTCCACAACAGGACGATACGTGCGCCTTGATTCCTGCTGTCAGTCTTTGTACATCTTTGCTTATAGTGCTTGTAAATTAAGTCATTTTCGAGGCAATACGCACAGTATGCACAAATGCCAATAAGAGACTGATCACTTGCAGTTTTAAACGTCAATAGGAAGATTCAAGTAAAACAGTACCATGTGATCTAGCGGAATGTTTTACTTACTTGACCACTTGTGGTGTTTGAATGAACCAATGATACCTTGGTACTTGCTGAATGCCCGATTTCGAATTCCACGAAGATGGGCACAAGTTTGGTCAATGTTTGTCCTGTGGCAAGTTCCACTCTTTTAATTCATGTAAATTTCGTAATTCCAAGTACTTCAAATGTGGTGATATTGGACATATTCAGTCAGTCTGTAGTACTAATATTCATCTTACTTTAACTAATATTAAGTCTTGTAATTCTGATTATAGTGAGTCGAGCATTTATAATGATGATTTATCCTTATCAACGATTGCAATAGACAGTGTAGTCACATAGCAGTTCAGAGTTAAATGAAACTCAGAATTCTTGCGAAACAACAGTTCCTAACCAATCGATTTATCAGATTTTTTATGTTATTGTACCAAATATGGCTTTTCCTAATGATTCATATATTTCTGATGAAATTTCTTACAAATCTGAAGAAAATATGTTGAATGAACCTAGTCATGATAGAAAACCTGATGCAGTCTTGATAGATGCTGATTTTTCTAATGATCTTTTACTCTGCAATGACATTCTTAATAAATTTGAGGTAACTATTTCAGAAGAGTCAAGTCTTGACGTCATACCAAATATTATGTCCTCATAATTCATTTGTTTCTTGTGGGAAACTTGTTCAGTGCGAAGCACGAGTACTAAATGAACTCGAGTTTGATTACAATTCGGATGATTTCATATCAACTGCTGTTCATCCTAATCACAAATTCACTTCCAATGTATACTCTAATCAGTGTAAGAAATATGGTTCAAATGAAGCCACATTATTCATAACTTGGGAATATAAAGATCCAGCATTATTTCGTGGGGGAGGATAGTGTTCAAATTCTAGATATTGATGATTTCAGTACAACACCGACATGCTGATTGCATACAATTCTAGGTGAGTGTTCCAATTTCGTTTGTTAATTCCAATACTAATGAGCACATTCTAGATACTACAAAGTTTTTATCCAATACAATGTCGGACAGACTCAGGATGAACTTAACAAGAAGACGTACAACCGATTACAAACACTTATACTCCTATTTAAGCTGTGGCAGATGTGTCTGAATGAACTAATGATACCTTGGTAGTTGTTGAATGCCCGATTTCGAATTCTAAATACAATACATTCGTTTGTGCTTGTGTCTTACTTCTTAATTCTATTGCGTTATTTCTGGGATTCCTAGTTCATACGATAAATCAAATACGCGTTAATATTATACCACTGCCCGCCTAATTTTCAATTGGTGAGTCCCATGGTCAAACAGAAGACATGAATGCTTCAAACTCACAGTGAGTTTAAACCATAAATTCCTTACAATCTTAGATCTCATTTAGACTGTTCTTCAGGTAATGCTAGGTATTTGGCTTCAATTAATTTTGGACTAATACAAATCCAGTCTACAACGCTGTGTTAATCGAAGAATTTAATCAACAGTACCTCGTGTCCAATCCAGATTCAAATTTTCAATCCTTGTATGCGAGAGTAACCCAGACGAGTTTCATAATTGCACTAGGCAATTTCGTCGAAATCAGTCTATCTCTTCTCAAACGCAAAATCTTGGTTCGGGACTGATCAACCCTGGTGGATTAGCATTTGATGTGAGCTTAACACAAATGCAGCGAATTTATTTAGGAAGGTTACATGTTAGTTGCAAGTACTCGGTAATCGATGTCTTCGAAACATCTTCGCCGCATTTTAGGGATATCGGTTGATGGTGCCCCGCTTGAGGCAAATTAGTGAGGAATTAAACATCGACTGTGTTACGTATACATAACCACATCCCACCTGAACAGGTGATGTCTGGTGTGAGTAAGTTAGAGGCAAATTATGGGCAACCACAGCAGGATACCTTAGACAACTGAGCCGTTGTAATGGGTGTGGATTACTTCGTTATGGTCCATGAATGTCATAATAGTTGGAGATTTCGGATGACGGTTAGAAGTCGTTCGCAATGGCACAGATGTTCAGTCTTTGTCTTCCCTTGCGCTTCGAAATCCCTGACTCCCTGGTGCAGTAACTTTCGTCTTCTGGGATAGCCTTTTTGATGTGCAACCTTTTTAGTCATCACTGATACTGTCTACTACAAATAATACACTTGGATTTACCCTGACAGATTCATCTCGCTGTATTAAAAGGGTGTGGCAACTTAGACCGATGTACACACGCACCACGTCTTTGTTTGGTTGACCTGATCAAGTGAATTGCTATCTGAGGTAGCGGGAGTGAGTAATACACAATTTGTGGCCGTCATGCGAACGCGATACCTTTCCCAATAAAACGTCTAGACATTACTTCGATATCGAGAAACTTCAGGCATCAAACTGAATTGCATTACACTTGTTATTAGCTGATAAATTCGAATCAACTGAGCAATAACAAATACATTATGAGTACAACAAGCTGCATCCATTCAACACGAAGACAAAAAAACACTGTCTGGACATCTCGAGTCAAATATGGTTAAAATGCATTTACATTCGCATAGGTTTTACCTTTCCCATAATGGGCGATAATGTACACTATATGGGTATCCAGAACTTTTTCACGCTACAACATTGTTAATAATAAAAGCTTTAAGCTAACATAAGAAAATGTCTTTGTAGAGAAAGACAGAAAATAGGAAAGAAGACAATGTAAACAGATCACTCACACAAATATGCAAAAACACAAAGAAGTTGGAAAGTGCTCATTGTGAATTTAAGAATGTATTAAAAACACTGAATCAGGACAAGCAATACAAATGAGATAGTATGACGGAAATCAGTTACAACTGTAAAGTTGAAAATATTCAGCAGGAAAGCTTCTGTAAAACATTTCCCCAAAATGATCTATAGACGTTTCTGTGGAAAATATGCTTTTAGACATGAAGAATATTTTCATGACATTCATTCAAGTTGACTCACTGTCGTAAGAATATAAAAATGGACGGAAACAGTCTTTAATTAAAAGTCGTTTGTATCAAGTATTGCATTAAAACGAAGCGATAGTAAGAAAAACAACCACTACCATCCGGTTTCATTACAGTAGATTTGTACAAGAAGCTTATCCTTGTGGGATAGTTGCACTGTTTAAAAGTATCAAATATAAGTACTGCTATCTAGACTGCAATTAAGCGCGCAATTTACCATAAAGAAAAGTATGCTCACAAGACACTAAATGCATTTAAAGCAGGTATGAGACGAAACAACTGAGAAATTTATTAGTAAAATAAATGACTGTTTAATTTAATGGAAATGATTATTGATGTCCATATTTTTAGGAGATAAAGCGGGTATGAAGAAATAGTGTTGAAACAAATTTCTCTGTATATACCATCCCTTTAAAATAATGGCTCCGAAGAACATGTACACTAATTTACGGCCAAAACACAACTTGAAGATATGCACCCAAATCTAAAAGAAGTTCGTAAATTGACTTGCAGATATTGTGCAGAACAAAATGGTAATTAGGGGTGCCCAAACGGAAAATAGCACGTCACCCAACAGCAGTAACTTCTAACAAACAGGAAGATAGTTGCACATGACTTGCTTTGCTTAGGACATCTGACTGAACGAATATTCTTGCTGAAATACAAGAAGGATGAATCATGATGTCATAACAAACCAGCTTGAGAAATGTTTACTTGTGGTTTTAAAAAACTCTTGCAGGTTCTCTGTTAATGTCTGATGAAGAAGAAAATCTGACTACAATTATATAATGTTAGGCTCGTTTTGAGGACAAACCTAAACACGAAGTGATCAAATGCATTTGAACGAACATCATACATTTAAAACCGACAACATATTTTATAAATATCGTTTTATGACGACCTACAGTCACAAACTAAATATACTCACATTAAGTGACATTATCAAATTATACATTTTCATCGTGAATGAAATTTTAAGCAGGTAACTAATTCTTTGCAAATTATGAACATTCAATAAAACCATATTTATGAAAGTCCTAGTACGTAAACTATTTTGGTAAGTTTTTTATCACGGTTAAATGGAAAGTTTACTATTCGTGTAACTGACTGTTAGCTACACTGAATGTGAATACTGGACCGTTACCATGACCGAAGTACGTGGAGCAGGGTTCGAACCCTGAACTCGACGGTCAAAAAGTCAAACGTTCCAACCATCTAGCCACTGCTGCTCTACAAAGCTACCAAAACATTGTCTTCATCTGAAATGTACAGCAGAGCCAAATACTGGGGAGAAATTGTCAGCCAGTCTTCAAGTGATTCAAAATATTTTATCGTAACAGTTATATGGAACGTGGTGCTTTGTGTGTAAAGATAAAGCCTTCTTCGGATATAGATGTCATAGAAACTTACTGGAAATTGCACGGAGCCTGAGCCGCCAACCGGACTAGGATTGGACCCTAAACAAACAGACTGCATGGATGAAGGACCTCCACTCGACCCTGAATGTTGACCTCCAGAAGGGACATACTGAGGAGGAGGTGGGGCTTGACTTTGGGGTCCACTTCCAATATGCTGTTGTAAAACATTTTGCTGTTGTGGTGGGGGCATCATCATGACGGAGTCTCCAAGGTACCCACTGTTTCCTTGTCCAGAACCATTGCTACTCGGACCGTTGCCAGGAGGATAGTCAGATGGCATTAGTGGGGGAGGTACACCAGCTGGACTCATCATATCGCAAACCATTCCAAGACCCCCGTGTAGCGGCGAAGCTTTGACATCGGAACCGGGTGGGTAAGCTGACGCAGAAGACATACCGCTCGAATAATCAGGGGGAGGGGGTGGCATCATCCCGCTACTACGAGGGGGGGCGACAGAACCATTAAGCAATCCAGAGTCATTGCAACCTGAGCCTGCACCAAACACACCATTATCAGGAGTAGAGCCAGACCCCGCACCGCTATAAACAAGATGTGGAGAAGGTCTTGCAGCATATTCTGGAGGAAGACAGGGATTCGAAGTAGGCGGTGTTTGCCCACCCATATAGTGTGGTGGTGCTGGGTGATGTGGATGACTTGGTATTCCACCACCAGATGCCTGGTGATCGTTAGACTAAAGTTAGAAGGAGTCAATACAATGAATGTAGTCGGTGAGCATTTGGATACAAAGTGTAGTGTGATAAACGATGTAACTTCACAAAAAACAAAAAGCAGTTTCCAATTAAACTGCCATATTAACAGGCTTCGAGCTCTACAAAGATAGCTGTGTATAACTAAAACTTATCTAATGGTAATTTACGATTCTTTCATTTCCTTTCGATAACTAACAAAAAGTGGTTAAATCTACATTCCATGAACATTTAATCTACAAACGTAGTGTTTGAGAGGAAAGCTTCAACTGACATCCGTTTGTAGCTAAATCGTCATTTGCTTAAAGTCACGAACACCAATCTATTTGTTTACATTTACATGAAACGAGAAACAATACAATTAACCTGTCAGTCATGATTTACCAAGTGTTGAAAATCATGTTCTTTTATTTCACAATTCGGTTTCTTACTATGTCCACCAAACTTAAACCACGGGCTGAAAAGTGTATATTTCACATGTTAGATTATTTTTCTGCATCCTCGTTGTTTTCGCAGCTCACTAACGCGAAATATGGACGAAACGTACCACAATTTTACATGTTGTGGAATTACCATTTAGTCTTCATCTTTTTGTTAACGTCAAAGTTGAAATGTTGGTGTTACATAATGCCAGTTGATCCTAAATTTGTAAATCTTGTCACTTCCGATCTCCTTTCTTCTACGAACAGAACCACTATACATAGAACATCAGTATCAACACAAGTTGTACACTAATACTAAACTAACACAGTAAGTTACTTCAAAAAAACTACCCCTCATATTAGTGGACTAAACAGGATACCATGAAAGTTAATTATGGGAACCTCCTGTAACCATTGTATACAGAAATTCCCTAATGGAATAAAAACTTTGCCGTCAACATGTCCATGATGTAAGCTTAATGCTCGTCAAAAATTTACACTTCAAGTAGAATATAAATTTCCATATTCATGACTGACAAATGAGCAGAGTTTGAAACTGGATATCCAATATATCAGTAGTTACATAACTGAAAACGTCACAACACTTCGCCAAAGAAAAACAATAAACGACAGAACATTCAAATATTTACCTGATTGTTGATGGGACTAGGAACGGTAAGATGAGTAGGGGGATGTTGTGTTGGTGTACCAGGATGACCTGGGCTAGGAACTACTCCACTGCCTCCACACGAGACGGGACCAACACTCCCGGATGCAGCTGACGATACCGGATTTGGTCCAGCCGATCCCGAACAAACGGGAGGGCCGATGCTTTGTTGAGGACAGGGGGGACCACATGCCTGTTGTGGAATAGATGGATTGACCCACCTAGGACGAGGGTGGGTTAACATGGCGCTAGATGAATGGTGATGAGGCATCGTAGGATTACCATGCATAGGATGCGGTGGACCCGAAACTGGCAATAAATTCGCATGTGGAGGAATCATACCACTACCAACAGGAACAGGATAACCACCTGCACTAGATTGATGGAAGCGCACTGACGGATGATGAGGAGGTCCCTGTAAACCAGATCCTGTATTCTGAAGACCACTACCTGGCATTAAAGGTTGTCCAGATGGTCTTTGTCTCATTAATGTCGGGTCGTGGCCAGGAGGTACAAGAGGAGGAGGCATCCCTGGTGTCGCTCCACTAGAACCACTGACGACTGCAGGGCCAGGCATGACAGGATGGCCGGGCTATATAAATTGAATAAAATCTAATTAGATTGGCATGAGTGAAAGACAAACCCATCGCTAATAAGAACTATTATCAGAAAATGGATTATTTAGATCACAAAGTAGCACGTTTCCTACAATTAATACAATCTACTCGATTCTTGTTTTACAGGAACACTTAGAATACAAATACTCTTGTAAACTATAGTAAGTTTATTTTGATTAGGCATACTATAGAAAAAAGGATGGGAGAAAATTGGGTAATAAATCCGAGATTATAATAGACAACGAATAATAACAAATTAAGCACTACACAAACAATATATGAACTTGTGTAGGACAGTTTAACTTTTAAATTCTATTGATCTTTGACCCAATATACTGTAGTTTTTTCTTACAACCTTAACGACAATTGACTGTTATTAATCCAGATATGTTATGAATTTCTGTTATACTACATATAATTAAACATTTAATCGACTTGAGGGATATAACTTAGAAAATTCTGAGCCCATTGGGAACACTGCGTCTCGAGCTGCTTTAGTAATACTTATTTTTCGAAAGTATACTAATAACAATAAAATATTTATGGGGAAAATGAGCTTGATGAGTACCGCTGAACATATGTAATTTAAATAACTTGGACGTATGTACAAATAGTGAGAAGCCGACCAACAAGACTCTTCATATAATGTTCTTCATTGATGTTTTTAGACAGATACTTTCTTGATAAACGGCATTAAATTTTAAATTAACGTCAGATACCACTTTAATTGCATGGCAGATACAACTGGCTAGTTTTGTTGGTCTATTTGACGGCGTTAATGACGATGTCCACAATCGCTTATCAACCTGTTTTCAAAATGAACCAATGTTGTTGATTTAGACTGCATACAACATGGAGAGGATACCAAATAGAGAAACCATACAGTTACACCATACGATGCAGATATGTACGCACATAGAATACGAGATCTGATCAGCTGACGGTGAGACAATGATCAATTTATGTTATCATGTACTGATTTATGGCAGGCACTAACTATATTGATGATAACTAACCATATACATATATATAGGCTTTTAATTGTAAATCTATTGTTTACTAGTGAAAAGTTCTCATCAAGATTGACGTCCACGATAAAAAAGCGGACGAAGCCTATAGGCTTTTATAAAAGTCATTTAAAACACCAATACTTGGGAGTGAGTACATTTGCCCTAACTTAGAACTATTTTTGCATGTGGAACTCGAACTTTTAGCACAACTCATAATCCTATGAGTTGAACTAGGTCATCAACAGTGACCAATATTATTATCTCTAAAATCACTTGGGAAACGGAAACGAAGAACATACAAAAGTCAACACTTACATGAGGCAATCCATTTGGGTAGCCCGAATTTACAAAACCCTATGATTCTAGCATTAGGTAGTAGGAAATCTTACATAGTCATGGAATGCTTTGGCTTCATTAGAGTGTTCATGTGTATCACGTCTTTCAGGTGCCGCACTGTAGAGATCCCAAAATACACTAGGCAGACTAAGGGGAAAGCAATTAACTTACCTCCACCAGGAGTGCAGAAATCCAGGAGGCTCACCGACGCTTATTGACTTGTCCCAGCGGATCTTAAGGAAGTATATCACTTCAGAATACATTACCTCTTGGAGAAAAGAGTTTGCGGTCTTTTGTGCTCCGATATGCACAAGATATTCATAAACATATACAGCCAACCTACAGAAATAGTACTAAAATGTTAGACTAACTTCTCTTTCGACTGGGTGTCAGACGGGATCCCAACTGACTTGCTTTTGCCATACATGGTTTGCGAATTAATCACAGGTCCATAAGTAACATTCCTTCGTGGTAAAGAACAACTTCCAAATCCAAATAAGATACACAAAATTTACGAACCAAATCCGACTTACAATGGTCGAACCAGTGATATAAACAAACATGAAGCAAGAAACAATTGTCTCAATGTCAAAGTCCAATCAACAAAGGAATGGATAAGATCATATTTTATAAATAATTTAAATTATCTCGTCGTAAGAGAAAATGAAGGTTATCTTTCCAACCATGCATGATGATTCCCAAACTGTTCCACCTACCTTCTTAATGTAGGTAGGAATTCTAAATAAAAATCGATTGCATTTATGCTATACTCCGTCATACTTAGGTTTATAAACGAATGAGTAATACATAATTACTACACAGAAAAATTCCCCTTAGTTTTATATCTGATATAATACAACCCTAATAAAAAGGCCTAGTAGTGACATACATTTATCACGAGAACACGAAGGGTTAAGTTGGACGGTTTCACTGCCAACTTAAAAGTGCTCTACGAGCACACGGGAACGACAACTGGTACGAAACCTTATCGCTCGTCCTCTTAGGTACTCGAACGAGCTTGAAGGCAGATATACAATGTTCCGCCGCTGAACTGGTATACGGCACGACATTGCGTCTGCCCGGAGAATTCTTCACACCACGGAGCAGACCTGATTTCGGTAAATCAGACTACGTCCATCGACTGTCTGCATTTATGCGAACGCTGTCTCCGGTGTCAACTCGAATACAACATCGACAGGTCGCTCCCCCTCGAGAGTTATCTACCTGTTCACATGTTTTCATACGAGTAGATTCGGTACGCAAACCTTGGCAACAACCTTACGAAGGCCCTTTTCACGTGATCGCTCGTCACGAAAAGACCTTCAAGGTTGATCGACATGGCCGCGTCGAGATCGTCAGCATTGATCGTCTCAAACCAGCACACGTCGATGACAGTGCCCTATCTGATAACCTGAGATTCAATGCTAGACCTATCAAACCTAGCGGGATCCTTAAATCTTCTTCAGGTCCCATGCTAGATACATCTGAGACCTCATTCTCACGTCCCGGTCAACAGCACGCGTCATCTGCATCGTCTACGGACGAGACGACAGTCTCACCTCCAGATCAGCAGACCATGCCGCCTTTGACCTCGGATGAGATTGCAGGCTCACGAGATACGAACGAGACTACCGTCTCACGTTGCGGTCGCCGAATACGGTTGCCCGTACGCTTCCGCGACTAGCCGCACAGTTAACAACCGATACGGTGTAGGACTGTTCCTATGCTACATGCATGCTACACTCTTCTCTTTTTTGATTTTCTTTTTGTTTCCCGAGCCCACGCCTTCGACCACCTCCGTTTGATACCGTCGACTTCAGTCAACTTTGGCGAAAGCTGGCCTGATCACCCACGCTCTTGTCAACGTACTCAGTCGATATTTTCGTTTCGAATGTTTGGCATACGCTTGGTCTCGAACTTGGTCGTTATGGTCGCTTCTGGTTCATCGGCTCAACGTGGTTTCGTCCCACGCCTGCAGCATTTCTGGTCCGGACCCCTACGAACGCAATCTTCAGATTCTGGATACAAACCACTCTGGTGTGGCATGCCAACTCAAGTAACAAATACAGCACATCGCTCCTGGTACCGTTCTCCGAAAACGACTTTCGTTGGCAACTCGACGATCAACGATCGCTTTCCTGTTCGCCAATTCTCCCGTCCTACAATCGCTCGTCAGCCGACCAGTCCCACGATTTAAACCGCTATTTATCGAAAGTGTAAACCCTTTCTAGTGGGGGACTCCTGTAATGACTCACATTTATCACGAGAACACGACTGGTTTAATAAAAACAATCATTATTATAACCAACTGTACCAGTGTTTGTTTTAATGTGCTTTTGTTTGACTGTGCTAATGACAGCTATTTTGTGCTTCCATTCATATACATGTAACAGCTCAGGTTGGTTGGTTAAGAGTTGACTCCAAACAACCAAGCTTATGCCAAAACAGTATTGTTCAAGTATTCATTCACTTCCTTATTTTTCATAAGCGTTATATTCCCTATTATCTTATATTGAATGTTGAGAGCCTTTGTTTGTCTGAACAGATAATCCCACGCTCCACTGCGACTGCGCTAAGATCGAAATAAAGACCTATTCACTACTTCTCTGGTTTCTTCTATCAATAGCACGAGGGTTACATTAAGGCACGAAACTGGTGAGCCCTTTTTGAACACAAATTTAACCTCATTTCTGTTATTAACATTTTTTTTACTTAATCGTAAAAGTAGACCTGATTATCCGTAAACTAATTTGAGTATATAACTAGTTTATTCCGTATTATCTTAAGTTATTCGTGTTATAGTAACCACTTTTTGTGCTAACTTTATTGCTATATTTGTCACATACCTCATGTCAGACTCAATAGAAACCCATAATCTGGAGGATTTGTCACCAGTGGAGATAGACACTGTTATGACTACGAAATCCCGACTTCCAGAATTTGATCGTAGTGATCCTGAGTTGTGGTTTGCTCAACTAGAGCATTATTTCACGAGACACAATATCAAATCTGAAGGGATTCGCTATAGAGACTTGTGTTCAATCCTTCCTCCTTCAGTCGCCAAAGAAGTCCGTGACTTGATTTTAAGTCCACCATTACCACAACCATACACCGTCTTAAGACGAGAGATAATGAACCGTTTATCACTATCAGATAGTCAAAGAATCCAAAGACTTTTTCAAGGTGAAACACTAGGTGATCGGTCGCCGTCACAGTTTTTACGTCACCTCCAAGTCTTAGTGGGTGATAACACAGTGGGTGAAGCAGTCCTAAAACAAGGATGGATACAAGCTCTCCCATGCTACGTCCAACACTGTTTGGATGCACAGGATCCTGAAACCTCATTATCTCATTTAGCGCGTATAGCCGACAGAATAATGGAAAGAGGTCCTCCAACTGGATCAGGCACAATAAATCACACACAAAAAGTAGAATCAGCAAAAGACCCCGTAATAGAAGGACTCATTGCGAGTGTTAAGAGTCTCACTGAGGCTGTCACCAGAATGCAAATGGGTCATAGAAACAGGAGCAGGTCACCACAACGACCACGATCCGAGTCACAAAACAGGTCACAAATGTCCAGACAATCTGGGCAGTTTTGTTGGTACCACTGGAAGTTTGGTGTCAACTCAACCAAGTGCATGCAACCATGCGCCTGGCCTAAGCATAATTCTAAGACAGCGGGAAACGAGTAACCCCTCCCCAGGTCGCGACGACTGAGGAGGGGCGCCTAAACAGTCGCTTGTTTTATGTTAGAGACAGAAACTCGGGCTTGAATTTCTTGGTGGATACTGGCGCTGCTCTTAGCATCATCCCTCGAAATAAAACTGAGATTGGACGAGAAACATCATCAATTACACTTCAAGCTGCAAATAAAACTAAAATCGCGACATTTGGGCAGAAAACTTTAACCCTAGATTTGGGGTTCAGGAGGCAATTCCCTTGGGTTTTCACGGTAGCCGACCTAGATCTGGCAATACTGGGGATGGACTTTCTAGAGAGATACGAATTTCTAGTTGACACCAAGAAACGGCGATTAACACTAAAAGAAACTTCGTACTACACAAAAGGCAAAGAAAGTCACATCAACTCTCTTAACTTGATTCAAACTCCCCCAGTAACAACAGCGAAATTCCAAGATATACTCGCGGAATTTCCAAACTTAACTAAACCAAACCCACAGCCTTCCAAAGACAAACTAAAAGTGAGTCACACTATCAAAACCGAAGGTGCACCGGTGTTTGCAAAACCCAGGAGACTAGCACCAGATAAGCTCAAAATCGCTAGGGCCGAGTTTGATTATATGCTACAACTGGGTATCATCCGTCCCTCTGATAGTCAATGGGCATCCCCTTTGCATATGGTCCCAAAGAAGAATGAAGGTGACTGGCGACCGTGCGGGGATTACAGAGCCCTAAACCGTCAAACCGTACCTGATAGGTACCCAATACCTCATATCCAAGATTTCACCAACGGTTTACAGGGTATGAACATATTCACTAAAATTGACTTAGTCAGGGCATATCACAATATCCCGGTGGCTGATGAAGATATTCCCAAGACAGCTATTACTACACCCTTTGGCTTATTCGAGTTTGTACGCATGCCATTCGGCCTGAGAAATGCGGCACAGACATTTCAAAGATTCATAGATAACCTACTTCGAGATATGCCATTTGCGCAGGGGTATATAGACGACTTGTTAATTGCCAGCCCCGATTTGCAATCACACGAACAGCATGTACAAGCAGTGTTGAAAAGACTGGATGAACATGGAATAAACATACATCAAAGTAAGTGTGTTTTCGGTGTTCAAACTTTAGAATTTCTCGGTCACACAATAAGCCCAGAAGGGATTAAACCTATAAAAAAAGAAGTGGATACTATCAAACAATACCCCGTACCTAGTTCTCTAACACAACTGAGAAGTTTTCTAGGCCTAATTAACTTCTATCGCAGATTCATACCAGGTTGTGCACAATTAATGCAACCTTTGACAGATTCACTTAAAGGAAAACCAAAAGAATTCAAACTGTCTTCTGACGCCATCGAAGCTATTAAACAGCTTAAAGATAAACTGGCTGAAGCAACTACGTTGATATATCCGAATTCTCTTTCCCCACTTGCTTTGATGGTGGATGCTTCAGATAAAGCAGTAGGCGGTACCCTTAACCAACTGGTTAAAAACGCCTGGAAACCAATTGCTTTTTTCTCGAAAAGACTCGCTCCAGCCGAAACAAGGTATTCTACCTTCGGGCGAGAACTTCTTGCAATCTACCTGACCATTAAACACTTCCGACACATGTTAGAAGGTAGGGAATTTATAGTCTTTACGGATCATAAACCACTGACGAATGCATTAAAAGCGAGAGCCGATAAATACTCACCTCGAGAAGTCCGACACCTTGACTATATATCACAGTTCACAAGCGATATCCGACATGTCAAAGGTCAGGACAATCAGGCGGCAGATGCTTTATCCAGACTAGAAATGAACGTGCTACAGCAGTCTACAGTAAACTTCGAGACGTTAAGACACGAACAAGAGCAGGACCTAGAAT